TGCACACGAGTAATGTTATTTTCTAAGGCATGTTTATAAAAGATATTTAGATGTCCTAATTGAACCATGGCCTAAATCCTGGCTTAACCTAAACCCTGTCTGTGAAACCAGGCCTTAGTGTAGTGTACATCTGCTATGATTATAAAATGACACTGCAATAGATTACATATTTATTTTATTGGTATTAGCATCCCTGCAATTGATACTGGCATCAAGGCATTGGTAAAATCATATTGATCGACAGTTAGTACACATATGCAGTCAGTACCTTGCGTGTTTTTCCAGGTGTCGGGGTTCCAGCGAGTCTTCTCTTGGTTGGGGTTCTGATGATGGTGCCGTACAGCAGATCTTCCTCCGTCTGCTTCATTTTCTTCATTTGCTGCACAGTACAAACCTCATGTCAGAAACTAATATTCGAAATAAAATTTAAGTCCGAAGTAGTAATTTCAAGAAAAAAAGTGTTCATACCCGTTCCTGTTTTTCTCTCTCTTTCTCCATATGGTGTCGATTCCACTGGTCTTCCACATACTGCAGGAACGGCTGCCCGTTCACATGAAACTCTTTACAGTGCGTCGCTTCCCATTGGTCAATCTGAGCCTTCAGACTCTTCTCCAGCTGGCCAATCAAGACAAAACAAACATGAGCGTACAAGCCATTCCAGTCAATCAAACTTCAGAGTTCGCTTAAAGAGCGGCTCAAACCTTCGGCAAACTCTTCTGCAGGTCGACTCTCTGTTTCTCCTCCTTCAGCAGGTTTCCCCCTCTGTTGTTAAAGCGAGAGGGGTCTGTGGCTTTTTTCTGGAGAAAGAAGACCAACCATAATTAGACTGATTTTCACAAACATCTTTACGGTTTTTAAAAAATGCTTACACACAGGTTTTGAAACCATGGCTCCATTTCTCAAAACTCTACACACAAAACATCACACATCTCTTCCAAAAGCAAACACTTCATTCAAAAGTCAAAACTATTTTAACTTTTCTAAAAATTATATTTTTGCATAGTAACTCTACACACAAACATAAAATAATTAGACGCATACAGATAGCCACATAACTACACAGACGTGAAGAATGTGAAACACTACTCTCGTGTGTCTTTTGCTTGTTCAGAGTGCAGGGGAGTGCACAGGAGTTTGTCATACATAACAAATGATGTCTAAGTGTTTTCAACACATGATCTCTGGGTGTAGGTCATCAGTAAATGAGTGTGGCATTTAAATGGCAG